GGTAAGAATCAAATAAATCATGCTTTTAGCAACTCTTTAAATGTATTATTTCTTTATGTTAATTCAATTTATTAGGCATGCAAAGATTTGGTACTTCATCCATTCCCACATTCCACATTGGTCGTTCACTTTTACAAAATAATTGGGAAGAGGCTATCGATTTGATCATGAAACCACGATCCGGAGGTAATTTTTGTTCTAAAAAGGTCTACTTGATGATTCATTTTTTTAAAAAAAAGAAATTTGATTTTCTAATGATATCTTGTTTAGATCGTCAGGATCTTCAAACAGCAAGGCAACATTGGATAGAGAATCATGATGCGAAAAAGGCATTAGAATTGTTTCCCAAAAAATGTATTGCAGAGACTTATATATTAAATTATTTTACAAAAACTGGTCAAATTAAAGATTACGCTGGGGCTTTTGCGACGGTGAGTTAAATTACATTTTCGATTTAATTTCATAAAAATGAATTTTGATTAAAGAATTTATCTCTCATTTAGATACCAAGAAATTTACGTCTTATGTATGTACATGCGTATCAGTCATATGTCTGGAATAGTATAGTTTCGGAGAGGATACGTATATATGGTTGTGATGTTCCGGTCGTAGGCGATTTAATTATTATAGATGAAGATCCGGGTGCGAATATAAATAGTGATGATATAATAGATGATAGTGTTATTGTTAATACAGATGATAAGAAGGTGATTACAATTATTTATATAAATTTCTTATCAATGTTCAATATATTTTTAACGATACTTTTTAATTAGGAAATTAAGGTGAAAATACTCGCTGAAGAAGATTTAAAGAACTATTCAATATTTGATGTGGTGTTACCTTTACCTGGATATTCTGTCGTTTATCCGAATAACATCATATTTGAGAAATATAAAAAACTAATGTGGAAAGATCGGTTGGATCCACGTGAAATGCGAAGAAGTAACAAGTAAGTTTAATTTTACAAATATTGATTATTAAGCCTTTTAACAATTAACGGTTATTATTTCTATAGGGACTTTTCTTTATCTGGATCATATAGGAAAATCATGGGAAAGCCAAGCGATTTATCATGGTCAGTTTATAAATGGTTATATTAGGTTTTCGTAAGATCTTATATTTTAATTGGTATTCCAATTATAGGAAATTTTTTAAATATGACGATTCAAATGTATCATTGGCCTTAACTGACTTAGATTTGTTGGATGGAAAGTCCGAACCAGAATCATTACCAGGTATTTTAACACATTTGTTCTTTATTAATAAATAACACGTTGATTTTAACATCTATTTTCATTTTTATACAACATAAATAAATGATTTGAATAATAAGATGGCAAAAATCTTGCATTAAGAATCAACCTTTCTTTAGCAGCTAGTTCATATGCGACTATAGTATTAAGAGAATTAATGAAAACTACAGAGAAGATAGAAGATAAAGAATTAGCACTTACTTAATTATGATGATTTTAAAACGAATAACTTATAGTAATGATCGACATGATTAGTTAAACTTCTTTCACTTTAATAATTTTGTGCAGATCAAATTGTTTCAAATAAAAATTAAAAAAATTTTTTTTAAAAAATTCGTAATTTAATTTATTTTTTTCATAATGTCAGGTAATTTAATTAAAAAATTTCCCGAGAAACGAATGATTTAGTTTTCTAAATTTTTTATTTATTTCCTGAAAATAGTGTTTGCGGCAGAACGTGCAGTTGCTATTAATGCAGTTTTACAAGCCAGTAAGGTTTGCCAAAAAGTATTCAAACAACTTGTTAATAACGAGACCATAACTAAAAAAGACAAGAGCCCAGTAACAGGTACAAACTTAATATATATATAAAAATTAATAGAATAAGAAATTAATAGGTGAACTCATTTATATTTATAGTTGCTGACTTTAGTGCACAAGCTGTAGTGAATACAATTTTATATCATTCTTTTCCGAATGATCCAATTATCGGAGAAGAAGATACTAAGGATTTACGCGTTGAATCAGGAAAGGAATTAAGAGCAAAAATTCACTCTTTAACTAATTCTATATTAGATGATCCATTAGATGAAACAACGGTATGATAATACCGCAATACTTATTTTACTGCGATAACCAAAATAACCACTTCTTAAAATTTTTTGTGAAAGTTATTGGATGCTATTGATCGAGGATCTTATCCTGGTGGTTCACAAGGAAGTTCGTAAATGTTTTGGTGATTCTTTTTACTATATCAAATTCTTATATTCTGACCGTAAATATTCTTTTACTTTTTTTTTTTTTTTAAAAAAAAAAGGAATGTGGACACTTGATCCAATCGACGGCACAAAAGGATTTTTACGTGGCGAACAATTTGCAGTTTGTTTAGCATTACTTGTAGATGGTAAAATTCAATTAGGTGTTATGGGATGCCCTAATTTACCAGTAGATTCTAAAGTTCCAGAGGGAGAAAAAGGGTGTTTATTTATTGCGGAAAAAGGTCAAGGAGCTTTTCAGGTTATTATTAATATTACATCATTGGTCATTTTATTTTAATTTATTCGAGTATTTATACATTTGTTTCGAAAATAGAGGAAATTTTCTTCAACGGAAGAAACGAAAATCCAAATGGCCAATATTTCTTCGATACTAGAAGCATCATTTTGCGAATCGGTTGAAGCAGCACATTCATCTCATGGGGATGCTGCAAAAATAGCTTCACTACTTGGTATTACTAAACCACCTATTCGTATGGATAGTCAATGCAAATATTGTTCAGTGGCTAGAGGTGATGCTGATATTTATTTACGTTTACCGACTCGAGATGATTACGAAGAGAATATATGGGTAAACTTCATTTTTTTATTTATTCTTTTTATTTTTATACGTAAGGTATGATGAATTTACATTTACTTTTAATATATACATAATAGGATCATGCGTCCGGAGCTCTCCTAGTTCAAGAAGCTGGTGGTATAGTTTCAGACATTTATTCAAAACCATTAGATTTTTCTTTAGGAAGAACTTTAAAGTCTAACAAAGGTGTTGTAGTTAGTCATTCTAAAATATATTCTCAAGTTATTGAAGTTGTACAACAAGTGCTTTTGAAAAAATAATTCTTTTTTTTTAACATTTGATTTAAAATTGCTACTTTTAAATTATTGGTCTTTTAATTTCTTAATTACTTTGACATTAATTTTAGGAAATTTTTTTTTCTTTTTTCTTTTTTGTTCCAATAATTAAATCTTTATTCAAATTAATAAATTATGATTTTTATGACATAAAATTCGACTGGTGTTATAAAATTCAAAAAATATACGGGACAAGTGTTTTAAATTGAAGACGTAGATCGGTTGATGCGATATGCCACCGATCATGTTTTTAAATCACATAATAAAATTTAGAGGGAAAAAGCATAGACCGGTAAGCTGATTTTTTTTTATTCCATGTGGATTAGTGATTTTTTATTCGAAGAATCAAATTGAGGAAAAGTAAACCCATTTCCCAGAAAATTACGTAAATAAAAATGTAATCGTTTTTGTCATTACCATAATATACTTTTCATGATTACTTTGACTCGTTTCATGCAAAAAGTATGTGAATATGACATAAATCTGAAAAAAAAAATTCACGTTCAAAAAAATAAAGTCTTAATCACGTACTTTTGCAAAAAAGGTGATTATGACAAATTTGTATTTGTTTCATGCATGAAACAACACGTAAAAGTTTATGCAAAAAAAAGTATGTGATTATGAAAAAAAATTCACGTCTAAAAAGTATATAAACACGCACGTATCTTTAACGATATAAATCTTTTTCTAGCTTTAACGATAAAAAAAAAAACATTTTCTTCCAGTAACGATAAAAAAAAATCTTTTCTTTCTTCTATAAAAAAAAAAAATAGCAAACTTATTGAAAAATATGGAAAGAGGTAGAGTTTTTTTTCTCTTTCAAAAATGAGAGAGTAATTGAAATGATTATGATTCCTTCGTAAAAATCAAAATTTTTCATAGAAATTTTCTTTCTCTCATTTCATTTCCACTCATTCCTTTTGATTGACCTTTGAAACTCTATTTTAACCTCAATTGTTTGTTTTCTACAGTTAATAGATATAACTGCTGTGCTAAAGCAGAATGTTTTTTTTCCAAGGTCTAAATTTTATTGAATTGCACACGTGGGTCCGAAGTATTACCGAACTTCCATTTATACACATTAAGAAAAAGAAGGAATTTGGTAATTATACTTGATATAAAATAACGTTAATTGATGGTTTATAATTTTAATCAATTGTCAATAAATGTGAGTTGATTATAGATTCGCCCAACCATCACGACTCTAGTGTGTTTTTTTAGACAAATGGAAGGTAGAATTAGGGATGGGAAATTAACGGTTAATTAAGATTTGGTTAATTAACCGGTTAATTAACCGATAATTAACGGTTAATTAACCGTTAATTAACCGTAATATAAATTTTAATATAAGATTTTATAT